GCTTTGAGATCATTAATTCTAGAGACATCATTACCAGTCACAACAATATCATCAACATACACAATCAGGTAAACAACAAAGAATCTTCTCCTCTTCACAAAGAGTGTATGATCAGACTGTGTCTGTACATAGCCAAAGCTAACAAGGGCAGCCCTAAACCTTTCAAACCATGCTCTAGGGGACTGTTTGAGTCTATAAAGAGATCTCTTCAGCCTGTAGATCTTTCCTTTCATATTTGTTTCATACATCCCTGGAGGAAGAGACATATAAACCTCCTCATGTAATTCTCCATTCAAAAAAGCATTCTTTACATCCAGTTGATAAAGTGGCCAGTCTGAGTGTGCAGCCAAAGATAGAAGAACTCTCACAGAAGTCATCTTAGCAACAGGGACAAAGGTCTTTAGATAATTAATCCCATATGTCTGTGTATAGCCTTTTGCAACCAACCTAGCCTTGTACCTTTCAATGGTGCCATCAGCATGATATTTTATAGTAAAGACCCACTTACATCCTACTGGATCCTTCCCTTTAGGCATATCAACCACTTCCCAAGTGTCATTCTTGTGCAGGGCATCAATTTMTGTTCTCATAGCATCCCTCCATTCTGGAATATTAAGAGCTTCTGACACAGACATGGGAATTGGGTTAGAGGCAACAGAAGAAAGGTAGGCAAAATATGAAGGAGAGAGCAAACTATAGGAAAGGTGTTTGGAAATGCAATGTGCAGTACACTTCCTTTTTCCTTTCCTAATAGCAATGGGGATATCAAGGTCTAGAAAGGATGGCACCAAAGGAGCTGTAACAGTACCTGTTGTCTCATCTGTAACTAGAAGTGCATTAGGCTCATGTGTGGTAGGGGAAACAACCTGCTCATTTCTGGTTCTTTGCCTTTGATACATCATGGGATTAAAAAGAGGGTGATGAGGTAAAGGGGGAGGAATAGGAACACTGGAATCAGAGTGAAGTGACTGATCCTCCCTTGATTCATTTGAAGGAGGATTAGACTCATCAAAAGACTCAACTGGGACAGGAAGAGGAAGAGCAAACACCTGTGACAAATCCTCCCCTTTTGGACAATGTCTCTCCAGAGAGGAACCATGAAAGGAAGAAAGCTCATCAAAGGTGACATCCATTAAGACATACCGAGTGCCAGTTTTCGGATCAAAACAACAGTAACCCTTCTGTGTGGGGGAATAACAAAGGAAGATACACTTGTGGGCTTTTGGTTCAAATTTATGTCTTTGGACACTTGGAATATGTACATAACAGGTGCAGCCAAAGACACGAAGAGGAATGGGGAAAAGATCCTTGTCCGGATGAAGGAGGCTGAAGGGAGACTTAAAACCTAAAACCCTGGATGGCATACGGTTTATAAGGTAGGTAGCAGTGAGAACAACATCACTCCAAAATTTTGTAGGGACATGTGAGGCAAATAGGATACTCCTTGCAACTTCAACAATATGTCTATTTTTCCTTTCAGCAACTCCATTCTGTTATGGGGTCCTAACACAGGAGCTTTGATGAATAACCCCTAAATTAGTGAGATAGCAGGACAAGTTTTTCTCAAAATATTCTTTTGCATTGTCGGACAAATTCATGGAATTGTCTCACAAGTCTGGGAACTTCATCATGGGATTTCATCAAAAATCTCCAAGTGAACCGGGAAAAGTCATCAATGAACAAGATAAAATATTTGTATCCACTCATAGAGGGTAAATGGTAAGGCCCCCACGCATCAGAGTGCACAATATTAAAAGGAGAAGAAGATCTTTTATTACTCAAAGGATAACTGTTTCTACAATGTTTTGACAGTTCACAAGACTCACAATGAAGACTGGACAAACTAATTCCCTTAAACAGTTCTGGGAATAAATGACTCAATGCAGAAAAAGAAAGATGACCCAAACGAAAATGACATAACATGACTCGACTGATAGACTCTGTAGATGTAGACCAAAAAGCAGCTTTTTCGGGCTGTTCATGGCACTATCCAGGAGTATCTAGCAGGTATATTCCATTCGCCTCACGGCCACTCCCAATCACCTCCTGAGACTCCAGATCCTGAAAAACACAATAGGAAGGGAAGAAGGTTACACAACAGTTTAATGACTTAATTAGGCTACTTACAAGTAACAGGTTTGTATTTAGTCTAGGAACATGAAGAGCAGAAGGAAGAACCAAGGAGTCTGTAGCCTTGATGGTTCCCTTGCCGGAGATAGTGGCAAGAGAGCCATCGGCCAGGGTGATTTTGTCATGTTTAGGAAGTAAATCATATGAAACAAACAAAGTAGAAAGACTGGTCATATGATCAGAAGCACCAGAATCAATAATCCAAGGGATCCTACGATTACCTGAAATGGTTGCATGATTGGCAGAAACCCGTATACCTGAATGAGCAAATGCAGAAGAGGTTGAGTTCTCTGAAGGGTTGGAAGAAGAGGTCACACCCTCTAGGTGACTAATCATCCCCCCAAACTTCTCATATTCAGCCTTCATAGCAGCTAACTGCACACTAGCCGACATCTCTTCAGTTTGGTACCTGTCACTATCTGAACCAACAGCAACATTAGCACTCCCTGCCCTTTTATTATCAGGCTTCTTTTGGAACCGAAGTGGTAGTAGCTTAGAATGCAATTTCCAGCCCTTGTCTTTAGTGTGTTTTGGCTTTTTACAGTATTCACAGACAATCTCTTTCTTCCCTTAGCTACTTGGAGTTCCTGCAACCCCCTTTGGTTTCACTCCCATATTAGCAAAGTGATCATTAAGACCAGCCCCTTGGACCTGGACAAGTCTCCTGCTTTCTTCACTACTTACCAAGGCATATGCCTGAGACATTGAGACACTATACTTGGATATAATATTTTGTTTTGTAA